TCCCTAGCCCTTTTCCACTTTCTCCCTCTCCTCCTTTAACCACTTTCTCCTCTCCTTCCCTCCTTCCTTAGCCACTTTCTCCCTCTCCCTTAGCCACTTCCTCTCCTCCTCCCTTTAGCCACTTCCTCCCTCTCCTCCTCCCTTTAGCCACTTCCTCCCTCTATTCCTCCCTTTAGCCACTCCTCCTTTAGCCAATTCTCCCTCTTCTTCCTCCTTTAGCCACTTTCTCCCTCTATTCCTCCATTTAGCCACTTTCTCCTCTCGCCTCTCCCTTTAGCCACCTCCTCACTCTTTCCACTTTCTCCTCTTCCTCCCTTTAGCCACTTTCTCCTCTTTCTCCACCCTCCTCCCTTTAGCCACTTCTCCCTCTTCCTCCCTTTACCACTTTCTCCCTCTCTTCCTCCCTTTATCCACTTTCTCCCTCTTTCCTCCCTTTAGCCACTTTCTCCCTCTCCTCCTCCTTTACCACTTTCTCCCTCTTCCTCCCTTTATCCCTTTCCCTTCCTCTCCTCCTCTTTCTCCACTTTCTCCCTCTCCCTCCTCCCTTTAGCCACTTTCTCCCTCTATTCCTCCTTTACCACTTTCTCCCTTCCTCCCTTTACCACTTTCTCCTCTCCTTCCTTTCCACAATCCACTTTTTCCCTCTCCCTCTTCCCCTTTAGCCACTTTCTCCCTCTCCTCTCCTTTACCATTTCTCTCCTCTCCTCCTTTAACCATTTTCTCCCTCTTCCTCCCTTTACCCTTTCTCCCTCTCCCTCCCTTTAGCCACTTCCTCCCTCTTCCTCCTCCGTCGCAGCGAAATACCTCCAGCAGGACAAAGGAAAGACCGTGATCGCAGGAGGACAGTTGGAACAGGAGAGTCTAGGGCGGGGGTACCCTGGGGGGGGGGCATGGGACGCTTTAGGGGGTCCCAGGGAGCAATATGAAAATTATGACCGAAATAATCTGGATTCATTTTCCACTTACATTGCTTACGGTTAATTATTCTGTCGTATATCAATATTTTGTGAACTTTTCCCCATAGTGTTCTTGTCTTGTAGTTATTGGCACCGCTGCACTATTCATAACTAGTAATAACTGAATCTGGGAAGATGACAGGCACTGAACGGGGACATGGAGATGGTCATGTATTGGTGAGGGGTCAGACAATGGAAACGGTTGGGAAGCACTGGTCTGGCACTTAATGGCCGGCAGTTTGATTACGAGTTCGTGGGAGATCGGGTCGTCGTTTGTGTTCTTGTACACACACTCACACACACACACACACACACACACACACACACACACACACCTTCCCTCGCCTTTTCGTACCCAAACAAGCGTGTTTTCATCCGTAAAACGTGAAATTAGTAACTGATTGACTGGGTACAGGGGGCTGATACACCTCCAAATGGACATGCACACGCGTACACACGCAAAGGAACACACACATACAACCATTTTAGGATATTCTTGAATGTCACTATATCGACATAGTCCACACTTGATTAACTATTATACATTTTTCCTTTTTAATTCAGTGCGAAAAACTACTTTCTTTAACAGACTCGAGCTATAGACTCCTACAAGTACAGGGGTGTACGCACTCACGTCTTCTCCTAAGTACTTCCAGAGAAATTCACCGATTGTAATAGAGCGGCGCAGCGGGAGGGTGCGCAAAGTAGCGGGGTCTTATCACGGCTGTTGAGGTTATTCTTGTTATCGAAATTTCCTAGATAATCGCTCAGCATATAACCTCTTAGCTGGAATGATTCACGAGGGGGAACTTGTGGGAAAGATATAAGCATGACGATCTCCGAGAATTGCTTCTTACCTTTAAATACCATTACTTATGCTCTAAGATGAAACCCAGTCTCGGGGAATTCTTCGAGAGCTGAGGAATGTGGTATTTATCACTTACTTATGTTTCCTTCAGTTTACATTTTATCATTCTTTGGCGATGAAGCAAACACATCGCAGAGTCCAGAGGTCAGAATCCCGTCTCTGCCACACATTTGTTCTCGTCTAAACAACATACAACTGTTGTAGGCAAACACACAGTCAGTCCTCTTGGTTAAAACTACGATGCTCTCTTCAAGACAATGGCCATAAGCTTTCAGTCACATCGTAGGCTTTGTCCGATGGAAAAAATGACACTTCTGGGAAGATAATGGCCTGGCGTAGTCTTTTGAAAGAAGACATAGCTCCTGGGAAGGCTTGCATATAGCCTCCAGCAAGCGCTGATGGATTGCCCTTCCGAGAATACCTTTTATGTCTAGCAGAGTATACAAATGCGCCGTACAAACGTACACGGCTGTGGAACATCCTGCGTTGCCTGTTCTACGCTGTTATTTCCCTCGTTATCATTATACTTCGTATACAAAATGATCTATGAGCAGCTTAAGGCCCTCTTTCCCTCATTCGCAATACAAATCGCTTGAGTGTAATGAATAGAAGACAAGAAAAAGAAACGAGAAGGGTGAAGGGAAAAGAAGAAAAAGAAGATAAAGAGGAGGGGGAGGAGGAGGAGGAGGAGGGGGGGGGCACCAGCGAGCGGAGAGCGGCGAGGCAGTCCCGCTTTACCGAGAATTTCAGTCTCTCTATAAGCGTGGACGAGGCCGCTGTGGCAGAGGGGCTCTGGCGAGGGGCGATGCGTGGCGGGCTCAGTCCTCGCCGAGCCACGGTGGAGCGCGTACGAGACTAGTCGCTCGCCATCAGCCAGTGCACGCTTCTCCTCCAGGAATGGATCTTGTGCTTCAGCTCTATTTCGACGAGATTGATATCCACTCGAGAAGTTACGCGGGTGTACCAAAGTGTCTTGTGTAAAGCATCCGACAAACAAAGCTATTAAGATAAGAGATTCTATATTTCTTTAGAGAGAATACTACTACTATTACTACGGAAAACAAGAAGAAAAAAACACAAACAAGTGTTTATCGATTAATCAAAGTGCTTCCCAAGGGATTTCTCAATACTGTAGTGCCATGTGCATCAAATCAAAATATTCTTAGAGACGCATCTGACCAGTTGACAAGGGAAAGATTGTCACCCGGAGCAGCTAACGTCGAAACTGCCTCCAAAGTGCCCACATTCTCTGGATCTTACTTTTCCTGTTAAGGTGAGTAGTATTGAAAGAAGATACAGTGCAGTTTTGTATTTGTGTTGTGTATTCGTAACATTAGAAGGTAGTTATCAGTCACTAATAGTTTTTTTTTCTATTTTTTTTTTATTTGGTGATTATTTCTTCCGGCAAAGCCATGCCTTCACTCCGCCATCCGCCTGGCAGCACGCGGATTTCCACGGGTGCAAAAACTCCCGCACTGTCATCTCGTTAAAAGGAGGTTCTTGCGGAACACCTACTCCGTGTCCCCCTTAATGCGTTGGAAGACTTCATTGACTTCATCCGGTCGGACATCAAATTCCTTAAGATTTATCGATTTTCACCAAGAGTCTGTCCTCTTTACTCTCTGTTTCGCCCAACTTTAAGAGGACCTTGCTTCTTGGGACGCCGAGATCTTGAGCTTTTCTTCCGTCACCTCCTTCGCCTTGGATGATCTCTCTCTCCTACCCAGACGTCTCCATCTCCCTACCTCCTCCTCGTTGATGCTTCACTCGTGTGCGTCTTCACATTTCCCTCCTTTTTTGCTCTCTTCTTTCCTCCCATCCTCTTTGTCTTTCTCCTTCCCTCCCCCTGTCTACTTTATTCCCTCCTCCCATCGTACGATACTTGGTATGAAAACCAGGTACCTCAGGCAAGAGGGTGTTGGGAAAGAAAGCAAGATGTCGGCAGGGAGACAAAGAGCTCCTCCTCCTCTCTCCCTCTCCCTTCCTCCTCCTCCTCCTCCTCCTCCATAGTCCCCGTGCAACACTTCTGAGAAATGAGCCCTCGATGATGGGGGAAGAGGCGGTGGTTGAAGGACTTGGGGAGGGGAGGGGGAGGTGGGGTGCGGGGGGAGGAGGGAGTGGAGGGGCGGGAAGGAGACGCTCATGTTAGATGGGGTTATGGAGAGGTTGATGCTAGAGGTGAAGTGTGTGGAGAGAGAGAGAGAGAGAGAGAGAGAGAGAGAGAGAAGAGAGAGAGAGAGAGAGAGAGAGAGAGAGAGAGAGAGAGAGAGAGAGAGAGAGAGAGAGAGAGAAGGGTACATGATGGTGAGTGGGATTGTTTATAATAAGCAGACGGAACGAAAAATGAATGTAAAGGATATGAGCGAGCAGAAGGAAAGGCAGATAGTGGAGGCTAAAGATAGAACGTGATGCCTCCAGCGCACAGATAAGAATTTGATGAAAGGTAATAATGGCAGAGGACTGAAGACATGCCTGGTACGGACATGGAACGCAAGATCTTAACAATTTGCGTAGATATGTGCGCTGCCTAGTTCATTCTGTCCGTTTGTCTACGACTCGTCTTCGCGCATCAGCGACCTCTTATCGCGTTTAATACATGAACGAATCAACTCTTATCATTCACTGAAACTGCAATGGTAAAACGTAGCGAAGAGGAAACGAGCGACACGAAACAAGCAAAGAACATCCTCTCCCTCCTTTTTTTCAGTCTCATTCATGGAAATCCGTCATTTACTGACACATCAAAATTTCACAGGATTTCGGTCGTTTTCCAAAACTTGACAAACTCGCCTGGCGTGTTCTGAACAAAGCCCAGTGGAAGGGGGGCCCCTCATTACGTATTTCACGGGACTTTGCATTACGTCATATTACAGTGATCGCAAGAATAACCATTGCATTTGGCTATCACTATTTATATAAAACGCACACCTGTCTGACGTAACACCTCGCATCAAGCTCAGAATCTGTTGTTCCTTCACCTTATTTCGGCGAGGCGTCGGGCGCCCTGTGGGTGGCTGCCGGATCTGCCTCGACGAATCTAGGGTTACACTGGAGAGGGATTCGATGAAATACAGATGGAGGTGGAGAGAGAAAGAGTGGAAGTGGGAGAGGGAAGGGGAGAAAGAGGAAAGGATGTCACACACACACACACACACACACACACACACACACACACA